TTAAACTATTTTCGACAATAATAAAAATATGTAAAACACTGGAAAAATACTCTCAAATGTTTTTCAAATTAACTAGAGTTGGTGGAAAAAAGTCCGGCATGATAAGAATAACTATATTTTATTATAAACAACCATTTATTATTAGTTTCTATTTTTATTTCTATTTAATTTCATATAGCCATCAATCCGAACAAAGAATTCAATTAAGATATCGAGACGTTTCTATTTGGGAACGAATCCCGAATTTGTACATAATACTAATGTAAGTTACAACCATATTTTTTCATTTGGTTAGACACGTTGACTTCACGTTGAGATTGACTCAATTCACGCATAGATTGAATTATTGGCAAGCGTCTTAAACAATCACTGTGTTTTGTTAAACAACTCGATGATGTTTGAAAGTTCAAATTAGTTGCAGTCAATCCATTGTTTCGGAATGCTGAGTTTTAGTTTTTGATTGTTAAATTGTGTTGCGTCGACTATATAAACAACCAAATGTTTTGTTTTATACTTTTAATATTGCGTTTTATATGTTTGCTAAACCTTTATTTTTAATTCCAAAAACAAACGTTAAGTGATTGTTTTTGACTTTGTATTGTCTCGACATAAACATGAGAATAAAATCTCAGTTTTCTATTCGAAGTGCCAATTTTTTGACCCGAATAAAAAAATTTTCGATCAAAAGTTTGGTTTTAATTTTTATTGTTTGGTTTTGTAAGTATTTTTATTTTTTATTTTTGTTTTTTTTTGTTTTTAAGAGTTTTAATTAATGTTTTTGAAATAATACAAAATGTTTTCAATATTATGGCAACAAATATTATAATTTACTTTAATTTGAAAACGAGCCAAACTTTTTTATCGAGCCCGACTTTTTTCCACCAACTCTATACATTATTGTTTTATATTAATATTTGTTCAAATAAATACATTTCTTAATATTATATAAAAATAGTTTAAAAAGTTAAATAACAATTTCTGCTTTTTATAATTATAAAATCCCTCTTTAGTTATTTAAAAGATAGAACAACAATAAATTGTGAATTATATAATAATATTTAAACTGTTGATTATAGTTCATTTTATTGAACAATAACAAGTTAAATATCTAATATTTGATCAAAAACATTGTTTTGATAAAAAACGATGAAAAATTTATTATTATACTTTTTACTTTTTATTACTATTTTTTGATACTTGTTCAAAAAAATAAAATAGAGGGGTAACTTCTCATTCTTTAATTTGATATTGAATTGGTAACCATGGGATAGAAATCAAAAATTCATGCGAATTTATTTCATTGTACTAAAATATTCCCAAAACTGCATTTAAAAAATATTACAAAAATAGAAAAGCGTGACAATTTTGGAAAAGAATTTAATTTAAAAGGAATATTTAAGAACCCAATCTTAACACATATTCAATGTTCTTTTGCTTCCTGTTAACAGTATACACTTGCGTTTACTTACATTCGACTC